AAAAATATTAGAAAATACCTTTCGAAGCTCGACCAAATATTGTCCTATAAAAACATTATTGCGAAATGTTATTTTTCGGTAAGGATTTTGGAAAAGAGGGTAGAAAGCAATAGTGACCTGCATTTTAACGCTCTGCAAGACAAGTTTAACTGCTTGCATTTCCAGCAAGTTAAATAACTTCGTATCGCCTCGCCTCTACACAATACTATGTTATTATTATTCATGGATCAGTCAGCCAGTAATGGCTGAAAAATTCTAATGCCAAAATCAACAATGAAAATAAAAGCTACCCTGTTGTCACTATCTGGCTGGTATCAGATATTTAAATTAAACATTTTTAATTATTTCCGATACATGCGACTGATTCTGTTCTCGTTCTTTCTATAGAGCTTCGAGCTGGTCATATTTTTACCATTGTTTCACCGCTGACCGGCGTTTATAAGCCTGCACAGCGTATATAGCTTAATAGGTAACGTGTTTGCATGCTAATTTTAGAGCCATGAACAAACAGACACGCTTCATTTCGTGCGGGCCAGCCGTCTGTCTGATCGAATGCCTAAAGGCCATAATGGACGTAAAACTTGAATACTCTACACGACCCACGTGATATAATAAATCATCAACCTTACCATTACACTATATTACATGTACTATAGTTGGGCAGAAATGCGGTACGCTGTGTGAATGTAGCACGTAAACGTGAAGTGTACATAATAGACGCACGTATGTATGAATGATAGAAAGCGGGCCTGCTTGGCCACATCCATCAGTCGTTCGCATTAGAAACGACGAAATTAGTAATTTGAATAATCCTAGGTTGCTAATTATTTCTATGGACGAACGAGATCAAAGTAATGCCACCGAAATAGTTTCGCCGATGCATATATCCCTTGAGATATACACAGACCCTTATACTTGGCCAAAATTTCATTACCGAAATTTCGATCAAGTTCATTAGAGACTCTAATACCAGCAAGACAATAAATTTTATAAAGATAGATATATAGCTGTTATATATCATTGTTTTCATTTTGCACTACGTTCGTGCTAGGTTATCATATACTAAAAAAGAAGATGATCTATATTATTGAAGTAGTTCCAAAGAAGAATCCGGCAAAGATTTGTACAGCTATTCAAAGTCGTCCCACACTGAACTTACGGTCGTGGGAATGGTTCAGGAGGAGGGGCAGTCGTCTTGTAATGCCTGAACAATTTCAAACAAAGCGAGGAATGGATGAAACGCTAAATAGTAATTAGGCGGATGTTGGCAATTTGGATTTTTTTATTTACAATCAAAGCCGTGTACTGGGCTGGCCAGCACCAACTTCCGCCGTCGCGAATTAATAAGACAACAATTAGTCCCTGATTCTACGATAGAGACGTAACTAAAATGAACTTAACTAAATTTATACCGACTAAAATTGCCATTCACATCATTATCATTAACTTTGCAGTTCTGCGAAACTTTTACGATGATCTCGCAAGCTAATGCCGGAACAAGCATAATTTCGAAACATAAAAAAAGCGCTATAATATTGGCCTCAGTTAATAATGAGATTTTACTATTTATAGCTGCTGAATGATCTTAGTCGCCTTGCAAACGGTCTCAGGTCACTACGGCTACGCCGTAGGCGCAACGTACTATTGATTAACAAGGCACATAGGCTTTTTATT